AAAGTGACAAAGAGCAATGAGAGACAAGTGAGCGGCGGTTGGATGTGTGCCTAGCGGGAAGTTGTGTAAAGTGAGACAGAGAACCGTCGCTCGAACCTACGACTATGGCACACCGTCGCCAGGGTTCCCGCGCTGCCAGGCGTCAGGGGGATCCCAGCTTCATCTTCGAGGATTTCACGGGGGATCCCAAGGGCCCCGGGCACCCAGGGGCATCGGCCGGCCCCGGGGGGAAGAGCAAGATCCCGGGGCCCGTCAAGGACCACCGGGGGAAGTCGAGAGGACCCAAATCCAAAGGAAAGAATTCGAGGGACAGGGCCCAAGGTGGGGGTAACGCCGAGGCCAAAGCGGAGAGCCCCGAGGGCCGAGGGAGCCCGGGGGGGCAGAGGAGCGCCGCGCCCGCGCCCAGAGCGGAGGAGGCGAGTCCCGCAAGTAGACCTCTCACTAACGGTGTGAACTCCGACAGGAAACCAGTGTCGCTCTCAGAACCACAGAACCACGCTGTTGAAAGGGAATTAAAATCAATTACTGAACCCCTGGAGGAATCGGGAACTGACACAAAGAAATCGTCTTCGGAAACAAATGGCAAAGAAGTGAATTCTGTAGCTACTCCGTTGATTGACAATTCTGAATCTCCTGAAGAACCAGAGACTGTTTCCATAGAACCATCCTCTTCAGTTTTTGAGACTGTAGAAGAACCGGCAGATGAAAAAGGTTTGCACAATTCAGGACTACTTAATAAATCTGAACATATTAGTGAGACTGATATAAAAACATCAAAAGTTAATGATATGGAGCCTAAGCAGTCAGATGACGATCGCGGTGAATCTTCGGTACTCTCTAAAGCAGAAAATAGTCCTGCTGAACCGAAGATCCTCAAAGAAGCGGAGGTCGACAACTCTGAAACCTTTAGACACATTGAAATTAATTACATGGATCCTGTGCAGCAGCTTCAGACGATCGTAGAGGAGACCAGAGACCCTGAAGCCACCGGCGCAGAGTCACAAAAGGAGCAGGAAGATAACGAAAGCAAGGAAAGTTCAGAGACGGAAGAGGGTGCGGGAAAGACGATGGGAGAAGACTCAGGGCAGGCGCATCCGCAGTCTGCTCGCGAGAGAAAAACGAAGATCCCAGGACTCTTGAAAGAACCTAATTCGAAGGGCTCGGGGAATAAAGGACTGCGAGTGACCTTTGACTTGAGTAACACCCAGGAGAAGGACGAGAATGTGATTGACAGCTGGGAGGACCTGAGTGATGCGGATGGCGGAGATTTGGTTATAGACGAGGATGATATCATCGACTGTGGAGTGAAGCTGTCAACAATGGATGATCTTCTGGATCTAGGAGAGGGCCTGGACGTCGAAAGCCCACTGACTTCCCCTGAAAGCGGAAAGCCTAACGAGAGTATACAGTGGTTCAGGCCTAGTGACGAGTTCCGGTCAGAGCCTCTCGATGGAAAAGCCTCGAACAAGGCTGGTGATGGAAGTGGCGATGATAAAGCTATTCCAGGTGTGGATGATGTCAGACCAGGTGCGTCGGGGGCGAAAGATGACGAAAAGAATTCAGGTGACAATACGCCTATTCTCGGAGCTGACATTATTCCACTCAGTATCTCCGTTTATAACGAAGCGAATAATAGTGTGGAAATTCCCTTCATTGACGGTGAAGAAGAAACCTGTGTTGATGACGATGACGATGAATGGGAGACGGAGCCCAGCGGAGGCAGCAGCGAAAATGGAAACAGTGATAAGGTTTTGAATGTCGAATGCAGGAAAGAGGCTCCTGATAAAGTAAGTGAGGGAGATGATGAAAGAAATTCACAAAGAGAAGAAAAAGAAGAACAGCCGGGAATGCGGGAGGAAGAGGAAGACAGGACTTTAGTAGACCAGCCAAGCATAGAAGAAGATAACAGCGAGAAGGATGACGACCTAATCACCAAGGAAGACATCGACGTCGTGTTCATGGCACTTGAGGAAAGCCCAGTTAAGGGAGAGACTGTTCCTCTGGCGACACCGGAGATCCTGAGTCCTATTGGGATGGACGCAAGTCCTCCCCAGAAGACACAGTCTCGTGTGTTTGTCGGACCTCTGCCACGCCCCGAACACACGTACGCTTGGGACAGGCCAGGGTCACCTCAAGTGTCGATAGGATACGAGTGTCAAGAAAGGAAGGCCGCATCTGTCTGCAGTTCTGAGACTGAATCTGACGGAGAGTTGGTACCGTGTGAGGACAAATGCATTGGTACTGCGGACTTCCTGGTGGAGAGTGACTCCGAACCTCTTGATCTCAGCAGCAGCAGCAATGACAGAACATCGTCAGTTTGTGACACGCTGTCATCACAGGGTCAGGACGCTGTGGAAGTAAGGGGTGTTGGTAAGAAGGCAAGTTTGGCACCAGATGACGACGTACATACCAAAGATGCCAACAGTGAGAAAGATACTTTAGCCGTTTCCGACGTCCAGCCTGATAGCTCTTCACCCTCGTCTGATGGCCAGGAGGAAGCGAATTGTGTAGGGAAGTCAGAGAGCGGGAAAGAGAGTCAGATAAACGGAAAGAAGAACGGGAAGAAGAAAGGTAAGAAAAATAAAAGGGAGGTAATCGCGGAGCCAGCGCCTGTGCCAGAACACATTCTAGGGAGGCCAAAGCTGGTTCGTGGAAGAAGCTGGAAGGAAAAGCGAGAGCGATTCATGAAGGAATACCAGGACCCCCTCTCCCTCTCATTTGGAAAGGAGCTGTGCGAGTCTGAGATTGTGGAGGACACATCAAACCTGCTCACAGAAACGTGCACTGAAGACAGCCTGGAGGCACTGCCCAAGAGCTCGTCAGAGACGGCCCTGGTTATGCTTCCATCCAGAACGGATCCTCTAGCAACCGCAGTGAACGAGAGCAGCCCCAGTATTGCAGCTGATGTTTGTGCTCCCAATCTCCCCGAGGTTAATATCGAAGATGAAGCACTGTGGATCAGCCGCAACATCGTCCCACCGCCTCCCAAAGTGGCCATCGAAGTGACAGCTGCGAGAGGACCCTTCCCAGTGTTTTCTACGTAGTGAAGGCTAAGGAGACCGCGAAGCCCCTGAGGCCAACAAAACAAAAAAAAAACACGTACGCTTGGGACAGGCCAGGGTCACCTCAAGTGTCGATAGGATACGAGTGTCAAGAAAGGAAGGCCGCATCTGTCTGCAGTTCTGAGACTGAATCTGACGGAGAGTTGGTACCGTGTGAGGACAAATGCATTGGTACTGCGGACTTCCTGGTGGAGAGTGACTCCGAACCTCTTGATCTCAGCAGCAGCAGCAATGACAGAACATCGTCAGTTTGTGACACGCTGTCATCACAGGGTCAGGACGCTGTGGAAGTAAGGGGTGTTGGTAAGAAGGCAAGTTTGGCACCAGATGACGACGTACATACCAAAGATGCCAACAGTGAGAAAGATACTTTAGCCGTTTCCGACGTCCAGCCTGATAGCTCTTCACCCTCGTCTGATGGCCAGGAGGAAGCGAATTGTGTAGGGAAGTCAGAGAGCGGGAAAGAGAGTCAAGCGTAGAAGCGATGCTTCATGAAGGAATACCAGGACCCCCTCTCCCTCTCATTTGGAAAGGAGCTGTGCGAGTCTGAGATTGTGAGGACACATCAAACCTGCTCACAGAAACGTGCACTGAAGACAGCCTGGAGGCACTGCCCAAGAGCTCGTCAGAGACGGCCCTGGTTATGCTTCCATCCAGAACGGATCCTCTAGCAACCGCAGTGAACGAGAGCAGCCCCAGTATTGCAGCTGATGTTTGTGCTCCCAATCTCCCCGAGGTTAATATCGAAGATGAAGCACTGTGGATCAGCCGCAACATCGTCCCACCGCCTCCCAAAGTGGCCATCGAAGTGACAGCTGCGAGTGACGAGGACGAGAGCGACTTCCACAGTGTTCATGAGAAGGAAGATTTCTACGTAGTGAAGGCTAAGGAGACCGCGAAGCCCCTCGAGGCAAAAACGGAATATGTAGGTGATAGTGAGTCAAGTGATGAGGGGCCCCAACGGCCTCATGATCAGAAGGCTCCGGAAGAAACGTCAGCGTGTGAGGTGTGGGCTTCGAGTACGCCTCTCATTGGTATTTCCTTAGACGGGAGTCAGTTAGTTAAAGAGAAAAGCCATGACATGTCGGAGAGTCCCATTGACAGTAGTGATAATTCGGCGTACACAGATGCTAAGGATAGTTCATGCGCGGAAAGCTTACCCCATTCGTATGATTATGTTCGGTCTTTCCCGGAGGTTATAGGTACTCAGTCGTTAAATCTCGTATATTCCTATGACACAGACTCAGACTTTAATTCCAAACCAGATCAGTGGAGCTCAAGATCAAAAGACACAAGTTTGGTTGTGAATGGCCGGGGGAAGAACGAGTTGGAGAAAGCAGGCCCCGATGTGCCTGCAGGAGAGATAGTGTACGAGGGACCGTGTTCTTGTCGCCCAGGTGAGTCTCGCGTGGGACCCCTCTTGCCTTCATATCTGGCTCCCACAGTGGGTGTGGGGATGAGTGTAGGTAGCCAGGACTCGCCACTCAGTGTTCCGTCTCTCTTCGAAAGTGACCATGACGACGTTTTCTCAGACGACGCCATGAAGTTGGTGGTAGACAGTTTAGTGAACGAGGATAGTGAGACGCTGCAGGACTCTGCGGGCGATAATGACGCGAATGGCTCAGATATCCGCTCGAGGATTAAAGAGATTGTAGGCCCGCGACTTCAGCGAGAGCGAGGGAGGCCGACGGCGAGAGGGGGACGAGATGAGGGCGATCAGGGAGGCGATGAGCACCTTCTGACGAGTGGAGAGAGTCCACGGGGAGGCCGGGAGGAGTCACCCCTGCCAGGGTCCTCTCCAGCGTCTAGCTCAGGTGTTCAAGGTTCCGACGAGATGTCCCTCTCCCGCTCCCGCTCGAGATCTCCCGCCTCGAAGGAACTCGCATCCGCGAGTGTCATCCCCGCTCCCTACCCGCCGGACATGATTTTCGAGGGCTGTCCGTTGCAGCCAGAGCTAACCCCAGACAAGATGGACCCTGCAGAAAGTCTGAGGGCGTTGAGGTTCGAGTCAGGGCTGGACTCAAGCCCTGAAAAGCCCCAGCAGGTGGACTGCAGCTTTAGGACATTCAGGGACATGTATCAAATCAACCCCGTTTACCTAACGGACTCGGACGACCCCGAGGACCCCACGGAGTCCGAGACGATAGTTCAGGGGCCAGGGGGTTGTGACCTCGACAGGTCCATCACTGTCAATAGTAAGTCTCGCAGATTCTGTGGTCGTTTAAGGCTAAGCAAAGGTGTTGTGGATGTTTTGTTTATTATTCTTGCTTGGGGTTAACATTTGGCTTTTGAATGCTGGTACCATTATGCTGGTAACTGATTAAATTTTGTTTATATTTTGTTGAAATTTATGTTTCTTTAAATATGTTATTACTAATATTTAATGTACACAATGGATTATCAAATGTAACATTTTAGTTAAATTCTTCAGACAGATTAGTGATTTCTGGAATCCACATTCTGCTCTGCATCTCATTTTGGTATGCAAACAATAACAGAATACCTTAGTTCTTTAGAATAAAATTAGTACTCAGAGCCCTAGTAGTCAGGTAGTGATGCGACTGCAAGCATTTTAGCACAATCCACAGTGTGCTGTGTTTCAGCCCTCCACACTAAAGCACATTTAATTAAAAGAACCTCCCTCTTTCCCCCTCCTCCCTCTGTCTCGCTGTCTCACACTCATTCACACTGGGTGCTTTGGTGGTGGTGTGTAGGCTGGGGGTCTGCCTCGGAGGAGTCCCCCGTGCCCCAGGATCTCAGCTCGTCCCCGCCCCTGCCAGGAGCTCGAGGGGCGAGGAAGGTCCCTAAGGTCACTAAGCTTCTCAGGGAAACTCAAGGTTAGCCATGCATGGTGCGGGCGCGTGTGCTTGTATGTGTGTGTGTCTGTGTGTGGGTGCGCGCACACTTTGTTAACACTTTTAGTTACAGTTTTGGTTGCGTGAATTTATATTTATATATATATATTTTTTACATTATTAATTTTCATGTGTTTACTGATCTAGCATGCTTCGTTTTTCTGAATGTTGTTGATATACTGGAACTGATGTTGTAAGCCCTGTGCTATTTGGCAAACACTCAAGACACCTGACAGAAGAAATTAGGTCAGGAAGTCTGTGGCATCTGACTTGCTCCTTGCAGCACTGTCATGCTGTGGCGAAGCAGGTTGCATGACGGTTACGCTGTAATTGAATATGCGTAACGGTGTCTACTATTTTTAATGAGTGTCCTAACATATTTGCTTGCATTTGTTTTATTGTAATAAGTAAGAATGTAATTGTTGTCTCCTTGTTCCTCTCGAAATTATATACAGAAGTCTGTCCAGCATGCTATAATTCCCATTTTCTACTATGGAGTAAGTACGATAGAAAACGGCTGTTATGGGGCTAACTTCAGAATATTGACGTGTCTTGCGCGTTTAAACGATGACGCTGAACGTTGTTTTTTTATTATTTCTATCTGTTTTATATTGTAATAATTCAGTTTTAAACAAAGGAAACGGAGTTGTCAAAATTCTGTGTGCATATCTGCACATTTTAATTAATTCACTGCAACAGAGGCATCGAGACATCACTGCCGAAAGCGAAACTCAAGAGGTAGGGCGCGGCTCGGCGGCCATTGACGACATCGCTTATATATACACTCGTGACGGGGAGGCCAGGCGTCAGAGCCACGCGCTCGGGAGGCTGCTGGCATTGCTGGCATTACTTGAGGCTGATCCACGAAGCCAAGTTTTGTTCCAGTTGCCGAGTGGGGAAGAGAAAGGGAAAGAGAGGGGAAGGAGGGGGAGAAAGAGTAAGAGGGTGGGGGAGATTAAAGGAGAGGGAAAGATGAGTTGGAAGGAGAATGGAGAAGGAAAGATAAGGGGAAAGGAACCAGAGAGGGAAAGAGAAAGGGAAATGGAGAGAAAGCGGGAGAGGGAATAAGAATGAGAGAGAGAGAGAGAGAGAGAGAGAGAGAGAGAGAGAGAGAGAGAGAGAGAGAGAGAGAGAGAGAGAGAGAGAGAGAGAGAGAGAGATACTCCTTCTTGATAGGGGGAAACTTGAGGGCAATTAAGGGGGAGTAGATGATTTGGGAAAGGGAAAGTAGAAAGCTCTCTCTCTCTTTCTTTCTCTTTCTCTTTCTCTTTCTCTTTCTCTTTCCCTCTCTATCTATCTATCTTATCTGTCTATCTATCTGTCACACGCCCGCTTTTCCTTTTTCTCGTGATGGTCTGTGCTCCTCTTGGCACATGTCCTGATATTGGCAATTCGTGGGCGAAGCAGGGAGGGAAAGGGGCAGATTCTCGAAATTCAAGTGGATTTCAAGGGGTTTAACTTACGGTTTAGCTGGGGTCACTTGAGCACTCGGCGCATTTACGCATATAGCTCCCCTGCACCATTTTCACACACACGCACACGCACACGCACACGCACACGCACACGCACACGCACACGCACACGCACACGCACACGCACACGCACACGCACACACACACACACACACACACACACACATACACACACACACACACACACACACACACACACACACACACACACACACACACACAGTGTAAAGAATGATTGGACCTTATGATCGATTAGTAGCAGAAGGAAGGATACGGGGACCTAGTGATAAATAATGGATAATAAGGCACCAAAGAAGAAAACATCAATAAAGGGTAGGGAAAGAGAGAGACTAGAAAGGGGGGGGGGTAGCGACTGAACGTGACGTTGTGACGAGGCTTTTGTTACAGTTTTATGTAACGTTCGGAGGCCTCGTCATCTGAGTCACGGTATGCCAGTGGGGTCCCGGCCACAGGAATGCGGGAATATATGTGAGTTATTATATTCTAAACTTATTCAAGTTGTATTTTATCACAAGTTAGCCCCTTTTGGCCATGTTTACTTAGAGGTTTTACAGTTTTAGTAAGTTATTCCGTTCTTGTCCACGCTTAGTAGCAGTCCAAGGTGAGGGGGCGTGGTGATCGTCCACGCGACTCTAGGTTTCTTGAAGGATAATCCAAGATGTAGTCCAAGTAGGGGGGACATCCGAACAACACGGGGGGGGGGGGGGGGGGGTAGCGACTGAACGTGACGTTGTGACGAGGCTTTTGTTACAGTTTTATGTAACGTTCGGAGGCCTCGTCATCTGAGTCACGGTATGCCAGTGGGGTCCCAGCCACAGGAATGCGGGAATGTATGTGAGTTATTATATTCTAAACTTATTCAAGTTGTATTTTATCACAAGTTAGCCCCTTTTGGCCATGTTTACTTAGAGGTTTTACAGTTTTAGTAAGTTATTCCGTTCTTGTCCACGCTTAGTAGCAGTCCAAGGTGAGGGGGCGTGGTGATCGTCCACGCGACTCTAGGTTTCTTGAAGGATAATCCAAGATGTAGTCCAAGTAGGGGGGACATCCGAACAACACGGGGGGGGGGGGGGCAGGTAGATCATGTTTTGTAATAAGCTTCCGTTCCCTTCCGACACATCATTACCCCTCCCCCCCTCCCCACGCCACCCCAGGAATACGCTTCCCTCGGCTTTGTTCTCCCCCATTATTCATTCACTTAGCCTTGCTGGGAGGGGACGGTGGTAGTATGAGCTGCCTTGACACGGGTGTCAGTGTCCCCCTGTTTGTTGTTGACTGTGTGTGGGGGAGGGGGGGGAGAAAGGGTTGACGAGGGTTACTGTAATGGTGTTGACGCCGCTCCAGCCATGACGCTGACGGCAGAACCGCGGGTCGGAAAAGTTCTTGCGTTATTATTTTATGAACTGGGGGAAGGGGGGGCGGGGCGTCTCTCAGTCTGCCCGGTGTCGTGCTTAAAACACGGCGAAAAATGGAAAGAAAAGTGTGACAAGAAGACGGGATCTCAGATGAATGGCGTATCGCAAAGCACCCGGACAAAAAAACAGTGAATGGAATAAAGAAGAGAAGATATGGCAAGACGCGGGTGCGGTTATCGAAAGGGACGTTGTAAGATTTCTCTCATCACACAGAGCTCTCAGTATAAGGAGCAGCGGCGGAGTGTGTGCGCGTGGAGTAGCGCTGTGCGGGTGTATGTGTACGGTTTGTGTGTGTCGGGTGCTTGTGTGTCGTGTAGGGGTTCGCTCAAGGATGCCCCAGTGAGGCTTCCGGAAATGCGATTCAAGTCCTCGGACACGGTAATGGGATGAAATGTACATGTGATCTATAGAGGGTACATATTGGCCATCCCGACAAGTCCTTGTACGGCTTGCATAAGCAAAATATTGGTTTGGGTGTACACACAACTCCACTAAAAATATTCTGCGCACACAAGGCGCACGAAAGACACCAGGGTGTTCTCTCTCGCAAGTGCAGAATGGCCCCTGGTTGCAAGAGACTCCGCCCATAAGTTCCAACCCGATTCTCGTGGATATTAACACATCAGCGACGGAATGTGTAGGCTTGGGCAGTGATACTAGTGCCTTTTGTTGGTTAATTCGTCGCTATGTGAAACGGACAAGAAAAGTTTGGTCTGATTGAAAATATGTGGTTGGAGATGGCAGTGCAACCCGAGCGAATTGGCCATTATCATGTGATTATCTAGTTAGGGTGACACCGCAACTGCTGCCTCCCCTGACTGCGTATTGCATAGAGCCTTGCAGTGTCTGGACTTCGCTGTGCTTGAGCTTCTAGATACGCTCTTTCATAGCTAAAGGTCACGCAAAGGAGGGGGAGGGGGTTGTGTTCTGCCTTTATTACAGTCTGTTTAGTTATCCCCCTCCCACCCCCTCCTCCCTCAACTCCACACGCCCCTACGGTAGGAAGAAATGTCAATGACCTGTGGCGGCGTGCAGGTTGCAGCCCAGTGGGGAGGAGAGGGAGGCCCGGCCGCGGGGGCGATGGGTGGCACTCACGGGCCACGGGCAGTGCCTCTCCTGGACGGTCCTCGCGCAGACCTGCTCGCTGCTGCTGGTGCCTCGAGGCCCACAGATACTCTTGAAGTGTGTGATGGTACTCGAAGTCGATTTCTTTTGGATCGAGATGGAACTCTTCCTTCATTACTCCTTCGTAGATGACGGACGGAAAATGGTTGATAACATGATTGCAGAAGCGCTGTGTATGATGCTTACGCCTGTAATGGCATGCAGTATTAGTGATATTACTGATCGAGAAGATGACACCGTCAGTGGCATTTGATATGTGATCGCGGCTTGTCGCAGAAGTGATCGCTCCCCGGTGGCACTTCCCAGGGTCCCTCGCCAGTAGCCGCGGCGTCAAGTGCAGTGCGGAAGCTTACGAAACGCTCGCCGTGACCGTGTGAATTTCCTGTCCCAGTCTTCGAAATCCATGCGTGACAGGGTCGCTGTAGTTGATCGCATTTATGTATTCATTAGCAAAAAGCGTCCATTAGGGGATGATGTGGTGTTGGTAAGGGCCGGGGTGTGGGAGGCGTGTGGGAGAGCGATCGCCTTGCCAGAGACGGCGGTGTGGGAGGCAAGGAGGAGGTTACGCCACGGGATGGGAATTCTAAGATACTACGCTGTAACCTTCGTTGTTTCAGTGGCGTCGGATGGGGGGAGGGGGGAGGGGGAAGTAGTGCACAGACTGCTTCTTGGTGTACGTAATGGACGGTGGGGGGGATGAGAGGGGGACGGAAAGGGGGGGAGGTAAAGTACATTAAGCGAGGAGACAAGAATGCGTCATTCATAAGGATGTGTGTGTGCTCAGATGAGAAAAAGAGTGTTTAAGGTCGGACGGGTATGCCTTATGCCCCCCCCCCCTCTCCTTGTACACTTGGCAACACTAGAGCTTAAGTAAGGCACGGTGTACTTTCTGCCCGAATAGACGTTCTCCCCTTCTTTCATTGAGGGGAGAGAAGGGGCCAACATGCACCGAGTCATAGTCAGCGACCTATCCAAGGGGACGGGGATATAGGTCAGGAGGCGAGGCGTAGAGGGAAAGCACGCAAGGCCTATTTGTCTAAATACCACGTTCATAGGCAGGATCGTTGTTACCACGGCACTTAATCCCCCTTCCCCACCCCACCCTACCTCCACCCCGTCCTTTCCTTTCTCAAGGTCCGGGTATATTTACTGCGTTGGTTGTTGAATGCGTCGATGTACACAAGCGGAATATGTGCTCTAACGATTAGAATTGGAGAAAGCTGGATCAAGCGCCTGGCACATGTATGCTTGCCCCCCTCCCCTCCCTCCCCTCTAAAGCCTGGGGTTTTTGCGGTGCCACGTGCACAGGCTTGCGGGGTGTGCTGGCTTGGAGATTCAGTTTGTATTGTTTTCTGCGCTTTCGTGGCTTTAGGAACTGTGAATAACGTCAGCTTTGAATTGTAGTTTACCTTTCATACTTCTATGGCGTGGTATAAAATAGAAATGAAAGTAAATTATCACAAAAAAAAACAGACAAGGCGGGGACTGAAAAACAAGAAACGATTTAACTGTAATCCAGTGTGAAGAGGTATGACAAGGTGAATTGACACCCCTGCGGTCACTGGTATCGCTGGCGCCGCCACAGCAGTAGGAAAGCAGCTACATAAATAACAAATTCACCAACAGTATCAACAGCACTGATATTAACATACACAAACTTTGACGTCAGATGACCGCGAACTACTAACATTGACATTGACATGCAAGCACACTAGCAGAGAAACCAATACTAGTAACATAAACAACAACAACAGACCCTCACGGGGCACCTGACAATCAATGTGACTGCGAGGGAGGAAGGGCAGGTGGCCGCGGTGACACGGCTGAGACCAGAGGCAGGTCGATGTCTCGTGGTAAGCTCGCAGGTCTCGTGTTTCAGGTGCGGAGAGGAGGGACCCGCAGTGACCTGGTGTGAGGAGGGCAGGGGGCCGGGTTAGGGTGTGGAAGATAAGGGAGAGAAAAAGTTGAGAACAATTATGGTCTTCTTTTCCGGTGAAAATTTCAGTTATGCCTACAACGAATTGGCCATATGGTTAGTGTGAGATTTCTCTTCGCGCCGCAGAGAGTGTAATGGGAAAGGGCGTGGGTGGTACCGGTGCCCCCGGGGAAGGCTGGCGCGGTCGGGGCCTCGGGGGATGCAGGTGGCACTCGCGTCGCGTCCGGGTTTTATTACTCGCTGTTCTGATCGTTCTCTTCGCACCTCTTTGTTTTCTCACCGTCTTATTCCGTTTCTTTCATATCAGTTTCTTTTCCCTTCCCGTTTCTTTTATTTTCTTACTTTTTATTTTTCTTCCTTTCCACTTTCCTCTACTCTTCTTCCTCCTCCTCCTCCTCCTCCTCCTCCTCCCCTGCTCCCCCTCTCCCTCCTCCTGTAAGTGCTCTGTGGGTGAAAGTACGGAGCAGTGTTCATCGTGCAGTTTTCACTTGCGGCCGTTGCGATGGTACGGAAAAGTGCCACGACACCGGGTCATGGGCCGATCGGAAAGGTTTCTAATTCCTCATGACACTTCTGAGAAAGCTAAGATGGAAGGGGGTTAGGGGTGGGGGGTGAGGGATGAGGTTTGGGGCAGGGAGGGGGTATTCGTTTGGATCTGAACCAGTCGTGCCTTCTGCAGTGTCGTGGAAGCATTGCGTCGCGCCGATGGAGTAGGAGGGGGGGGGGCGCTGTGATTGTACTTCCTCCTTGATTGTGAGGGATTGTGAGGGGAGGATTGGAGGGGGATAGGGAGGGACATGATCGGAAAGGAGAGACAGGATGTTCCTTCAAGGTCGCTGGCACACTGTAATAGCTCCGCGGGATCACAAGAACGGCAATTGTGTTCTTATGTGCGTGCGCGTGTGTGTTTTCGGTGGCTAGAAGTGGTTGCCATGTTTGTAAAGGAATACGGGAGAGAGAGATGGATGGGAGGGGAGGAGGGGGGAAGGGGGGAGGAATACCATCATCTTTGTGAGTGACGTGCTTTGGAGGGAGAAGGCGGAATGACGGGAGGGAGGAGGGAGGGAGGGAGGGAGGGAGGGAGGGAGGGAGGGAGGGAGGGAGGGAGGGAGGGAGGGAGGGAGGGAGGGAGGGAGGGAGGGAGGGAGGGAGGGAGGGAGGGAGGGAGGGAGGGAGGGAGGGAGGGAGGGAGGGAGGGAGGGAGGGAGGGAGGGAGGGAGGGAGGGAGGGAGGGAGGGAGGGAGGGAGGGAGGGAGGGAGGGAGGGAGGGAGGGAGGGAGGGAGGGAGGGAGGGAGGGAGGGAGGGAGGGAGGGAGGGAGGGAGGGAGGGAGGGAGGGAGGGAGGGAGGGAGGGAGGGAGGGAGGGAGGGAGGGAGGGAGGGAGGGAGGGAGGGAGGGAGGGAGGGAGGGAGGGAGGGAGGGAGGGAGGGAGGGAGGGAGGGAGGGAGGGAGGGAGGGAGGGAGGGAGGGAGGGAGGGAGGGAGGGAGGGAGGGAGGGAGGGAGGGAGGGAGGGAGGGAGGGAGGGAGGGAGGGAGGGAGGGAGGGAGGGAGGGAGAGGGAAGGGGAGAGGGAGTGAGTGAGTGAGTGAGGGAGGGAGGGAGGGAGGGAGTGGGAGTTAGTAGATCGGTAGGTCACGGATATAAATGCACGCGTGACGTCAGTATCTTGAGTTAGGGAGTGTTGACTGCGTTGTTGGGCATTATATGCATCGAGTGGGTATCAAGACCTGGGATTTTTGTTTACCATCTTCAATTTCGTCGAAATAGAAAGTAATTATAGATTAATTTTTCTTTGTCTTTGGTTGCTTGTCTTGTGCCGAAGTATTTCAAAACATCTTGGAAGTATATTCTATCAGTCATTAGGTGGACTTCGCATTTCCTTCCGACCGCAATCACGCCTTTCAGTACGTAAATATGAAGCAAGAAAAAAAAGAAATCCTGAAATGACACAAAGCGAGGCTCCAGGAAGACAATCGATAGGGTCGATTTTCCCCCACGGGGAGAGAGGGGAAGGGAAAGAGGGGGGGGGGGGTTATGGCTGTAGCACGTGCGTTCTCCCTTTTCTGTGGCTATTCCGAACCCGCCACGTGTTCGCGGGGAACACCTGCTACTCGAGGTTCCTTTCGGTGGTTCCACCCAATCTAGAACCACGAACCTGCCCTCCTTACCTCAAGCATTGCTACTGCACTGTGCGTGGGAGTCAGAGGAACCAAGACCCATTCAATTGAACTTGGGAAAAGAACCTCATGCGATAAAGCGGAGTCCAGCGCGAGGGGAATCGATCGGCCTACACGAAGGTACCGGCATTTCGGTCCGCAGCAGAGACGCCGTTTGGGCGTGAGTTCGGACCGCGGGTGCGTGGATGGACGCCTTTTCGGTCTCTGAAACGAATCCTTCCCGACGAAGGTTGAGGTGTTGTTGAGCAGTGCCCGCGAGTGAAAGCAAGATTATCATGGTGGATCTTCAGCGTTTCTGGAGCCATGGAGATGAGGTGTATGTGTGGTATATGTATGTTAAGGGGTTTGTGATGCGGCAAGTTGTTGAAATGAGCATGCGTGTGTTTAGTCCCCAGCAATTCCAAAGTAAAGGGAAAAATGGATGTGTAAAAACTGTCATCGAAAAAGTAAAAATGCCCCCGTACAATCGCACAAGGGGAATAGATGAAGGCTATGAAAGTGACTACTCGAGGAGAAAATTTTATCCCTTACTATGCCGTAAGTGTACCGCGAGCCTACGTTTAGTAGAGTCCTCCCCTATCCAGAGAATGCATCGTTTTCTATACTCAACAATCAAGTACATTTTCTTTGATTGTGGTAGCTTTGTTAGGGTAAACTAAAACATTAACACTCAGCTCTTCTAACTCCTCTTCTTTTCTGTTTATGGTTGATCTTGTCGATAATAAGTATTGTGCTTGATAAAATGAATACTATATCAGTTTTTAAATATACTTATTTGATTTTGTTTTCGTTTTTCTAGGCATGCCAATCTTTCAAGAGTCGTGGACGCCATAGATCGGAAAAAGCTTACAGTGTGCTAATGCTAACTTGATCCTTTTCCCAGGTATTGTGCAAAGATGGGAGGTGCTACAGGCCCAAGCCGTGGAGCGGCAGCGGCAGAGCGGGCAGGTGCGAGAATTGCAGCGCCAGGTGAAGTCCCTGCGCGTCGTGCTGGAGTCGCTGATCGAGAGGGCCAGCGACACCACGCAGGTGAAGGACCTCGAGACCCACCATCAGCTTAGCGACAAACTGCAGGAGCTCAAGGTACGTGGTTTGCGGCCTCCTGGGCAGTGGGGTTTTATGTATGGATTTATTTGTTTGTTTGTTATTTGTGAGTGGATATGCCTTTTCAGAACAGGGTTGATAGCAGTATTTACTTTAAATGATTGTCGAACGAGGGGTTGCTGTTTTTTTTACGAGATGTAGGTAATTTTTGTTATCATTATATTAGAATAAGGATTTTTGATTGAGGAAATAGGTATAAAGGACATAGAGAGATCGAAAAAAATGATTTCGCATTTTACCTTCACGTAATAGAAGGCGCACATGACACGCTTTGCATTTTGCTCAAATCCCGTTTTAGCCTGGAGGCAGGATCACGTGCTTGTTGGGTGGGGTGCAATGGGATCTTGCAGTGCTTCAGGTGGGGGCAGGGGGGGCGGGGGTTGGTTAGTCCGCCGTTTTGCAAGAATATTTCTTTCGATATTGTGTTTTTTTTCTATTTACATTTATTAGGGAGTAGATAATGATAAATGGCAATGAATTTATGCCCATGTTCATAATGCTAACATTAAGCAAAATAAAGAAAATGCCGACTTGAAATTAAATAAGACATCTTGTGTTTCACTGTAGCTCGTTATTTTTTTTTTTTTTTTTATTTTTTTTTTTTTTTTCTGGCGGGAAGAAAAAGACCAAATTTTGAGTGTCCGATTAGGTCGTTGGGCACGAACGGCTGGTTGTCGGGCATGACGTGGCGGGCCCTGATTGGTAGCGACAAGAGTGACGTCTCACGCCCGCGCTCTGCTATTGGTGTTGACAGCCGCGAATTATCCTGTTTCACTTCTTGGTGCGCCGCCAATTTTAAGCTTTGTGCCCTGGAAAATGACCGGGTTGCGTCAACGCTGACTAATTCCCGTCCTTAGTTTGGTCCTTAGTTTTTTTGTTTGTTTGTTTATCTTGGCTGAATTATAAATGGATAGATAAGTTATGTAAGAGCTTATATTTGTTTACTTGAGTTTGTATCGGGAGAGGGGTAAGAGTAAGTAGGGCTACTTTGGGTTGGCAGTGGACAAGCTGCCCAATCACCTTCTTTGTATATTTTTGTACATATTGGAACTTGTACAGCGCTCTCTCTCTCTCTCGCTCTCTCTCTCTCTCTCTCTCTCTCTCTCTCTCTCTCTCTCTCTCTCTCTCTCTCTCTCTCTCTCTCTCTCCTCTCTCTCTCTCTCTCCCTCCCCTCTCCTTCTCTCTCTCTCTCCTTCCCCCTTCTCCTCCTTCCCTTTCTCCTCCTTCCCTTTCTCCTCCTTCCCTTTCTCCTCCTTCCCTTTCTCCTCCTTCCCTTTCTCCTCCTTCCCTTTCTCCTCCTTCCCTTTCTCCTCCTTCCCTTTCTCCTCCTTCCCTTTCTCCTCCTTCCCTTTCTCCTCCTTCCCTTTCTCCTCCTTCCCTTTCTCCTCCTTCCCTTTCTCCTCCTTCCCTTTCTCCTCCTTCCCTTTCTCCTCCTTCCCTTTCTCCTCCTTCCCTTTCTCCTCCTTCCCTTTCTCCTCCTTCCCTTTCTCCTCCTTCCCTTTCTCCTCCTTCCCTTTCTCCTCCTTCCCTTTCTCCTCCTTCCCTTTCTCCTCCTTCCCTTTCTCCTCCTTCCCTTTCTCCTCCTTCCCTTTCTCCTCCTTCCCTTTCTCCTCCTTCCCTTTCTCCTCCTTCCCTTTCTCCTCCTTCCCTTTCTCCTCCTTCCCTTTCTCCTCCTTCCCTTTCTCCTCCTTCCCTTTCTCCTCTCTCTCCTCTCTCTCTCTCTCTCTCTCTCTTTCTCTTTCTCTTTCTCTGTCTCCCCCCCCCCTCCTTTTCTTATTATTCCCTTTTCATCAGTCATCCGGAAGGGGAAGAAGCCATGCAGTCAACGTCACACGTCTTGTCCTTTGCCAATCCCTTTTAAGTTTTTTTTTCTTTGTATTACTAAATATACAGTTCTATGTTTATATTTTTTCATCAGAACAGTCACTGGAAGAAAAGAAATGTTCAATTCATTTTTCTGCATTTCCTGCATACTTAAATTTAGTTGTCCTTTCTTACATCACGATGGTTGATACCCGTAGACTTTCTTCGCTCATTTGGCATATGATTATTGTATAGTACATAAAGTTAGGTGTGTGTGTGTGTGAATGGATGGATATTCGTAATGTAAATGTATATATATATATTCATGAGTTTTTGTTAAAGAAAAAACTTTCCTTGAGAATGAAGGTTGATGTTCGAAGGTTACGCCATTGCATTTGCATTCGTAGTGTGCGTGTAAGGTGATCTTGTGTCGCGTCCTGATACAAGACAAGTCCAGGAAGATAGTTTACACAGAGCGATGAAGATAGTCCCTCAGACCATGACTTCCTCTTCCCTCGGTAACTGGCGTGTTCCTCGGGCTTTTCCTCTCCCCTTCCTTTCCTTCCTCCTCCTTTCCTTTCTCCTCCTTCCCTTTCTCCTCCTTCCCTTTCTCCTCCTTCCCTTCCTCCTCCTTCCCTTCCTCCTTCGTCTCGCTGCCACGATCCGCAAGCACCGTGTACGCGCTTTGGCCGGTGCGACTTGGCGCTTGTCCAGACCCCGTACCCGCAGGCCTCAGGAGGCAGCTCGTGCTTGCAGGCACCGGGAGGGCCATGCTTGGAGGGAGAAGGGGCCAGGGAAGGGGAAGGGGGGAGAGGGTCGCCTACTTGGTCTGTGCTCACACGCCCGGCCAGGTCACTAGAGCAGGTCGGACATGTTCCTCACGCCGAGACTGGAAGGTTGTGTTCCCGTCAGCCACTTGTCGGGCCTCGCTCGCGACGCGCCTGGCGAGTGCTTGGGCGGCCTGGCTCGGGCGAGGAGGCTCCCGACCAAGGTCTCTGCAGACCTTGCTCCCGACTGCTGACGGGGGCGGCGAGGTAGGTTGCGGCGAGTCTTCCCTCATGCACTCACGCCGAACTGCTAGGAACGCTTGTGTGAAAGCCATTTTCGTTGTTAATAGAATCAGTATCTGTCTCTCTATCTGTCTGTCTGTCTATCTCCCTTTCCTTCTATCTCCTCCTATCTCCTTTCCTTCTCCCTCTTCTTCCTTTCCTCTCCCCCAATCTCTTTTCCTCTCCCTACGCCTCTTCTCTCTCTCTCTCTCTCTCTCTCTCTCTCTCTCTCTCTCTCTCTCTCTCTCTCTCTCTCTCTCTCTCTCTCTCTCTCAGCGTCCGGCAGAGCGAGGTCCGCTGTAGTGAGTTTGTAGGATTATTCCGCGGGACAGCCGGGCGAGGGAGGGCGCATGGGGGTAGGGGGCAGAAATAGACGTGTCTAATTTATTTGTCGGGGCCCACAGCTGAGCGGGGCCGGGCCCTCCGCGGGGGACCTTGTCGCAGTAACGATGTCAGATTTACACCGCCCTTCTTTACTCACCCTTCCCTTCCCAGCCGACGTAATCACCCTCCCTCTTTCTCCCTCGCCTTCCCCCTCACTCCTCGTCCTCTTCTTTTACTTCCCTTTCTTCTGTTCGTCTCTTCTTCGTTTCTTCGATATCCGCATTGATGTTTACCTCCCCTTTTGCCCGCCATCTCTCGGCCATGTCGCTCCCTACTTGTTCATTGGGCTTTCCTCATCATGACACCCGTTTACCTCGCCTCCGTCCACGCCTCCGCCCACGCCTCCGCCCACACCCCTTGGAGTTCACGTGGGCCGCCCAGCCGCCCCGTGCATGTTGCCAACGCCGCCGTTCATGACGCCATGCAGAGGATCGGGTATTTGGCACCGGCTTTTTTTATCAGGCTTGAGTGCCGTCTAATTGCACGATGCAGAGAGATAATGATGGACTTTTGGCGTTTTTCCTGAGGTTTAGGGGTTTGCATGACAGCTGACGCCATGGCGGATGAGGGAGTAGGAGGGGGGAGGGGGTTGGCTGAAGGGGGAGGAGGGGAGCCATGTTGCGGTTCCTGGAATATTATTTTGTTAAGTGAATATTTGACTTGGGGATTGGGAAGCTGTAGAGAATGAGCGGGGGTGGGCGGGGAAGGCGCGCAACGGGGGAGCATGTTCAGATAATGGCTCAAAGCACGCGCACCGCCCACTGCTCACCCATCCACCCTCCCTCCCTCCCTCCCTCTCTCCCTCTCACCTGCTCCGCTCCAGCACTCCTCCGTCTACATTTTTTTTCGCAGTGGAAGCCTAAAAACTGTTTTGATTTTTTTTTACATTTGATTGTCATTTCCTCCTTGCCTTTATGTCTTCTCTCTCTCTCTCTCTCTCTCTCTCTCTCTCTCTCTCTCTCTCTCTCTCTCTCTCTCTCTCTCTCTCTCTCTCTCTCTCTCTCTTATCCATCTCTCTTTCTTTCTTTCTTTCTTCCCTCTCTCTCTCTTTCTTTCCTCTCTCTCTCTTTCTTTCCTCTCTCTCTCTTTCTTTCTTCTCTCTCTCTTTCTTTCTTCTCTCTCTCTCTTTCTTTCTTTCTTCTCTCTCTCTTTCTTTCTTTCTTCTCTCTCTCTTTCTTTCTTTTCTCTCTCTCTCTCTCTCTCTCTCTCTCTCTCTCTCTCTCTCTCTCTCTCTCTCTCTCTCTCTCTCTCTCTCTCTCTCTCTCTCTCTCTCTCTGTCTCTCTCTCTCTCTCTCTCTCTCTCTCGCTCTCACTCTCTCTGTATATATATATATATATATATATATATATATATATATATATATATATATATATTTATATATATATTTATATTTATATTTATATTTATATTTATATTTATATATTTATATATCTTCAGCACCTATTTTATGCCATTCCCTCTGTTCTCGAAGCGAAGTGCCAGACGCCAAGCCCTTGGTCCTTCCTGCGGGTTTCCTTGGGCATTGTAGAGAGGAGGCAGGAGGGAGGTGGTCCTTCAGGCTCGTCCGCAGGCCCTCGCAGGCGGGCAGGGAAGGAGGGCCGGGAGGCGTGGTGCGAAGGACGGGGGAGGGGCCGGGAGGCGGGGGGGGGAGTGTCTACAACATCGTGCTGAGATGATAATTTTCACGTTCCGGTTGATTGGCCGCCTCGATCCCCCGCTGGTGCCGCAGACCGGCCATCCTTCCGTCCCTTTCCTCGTCTCCCCCCCCACTCCCTCTGTTTATTCTGTTCCGCCTATTCCCTCTTTCGCGTGGCCTTTCATTCCTGTCCTCATACTGACGTTGTCCTTGAATGCCGCAGCCCAGCCCGCACCTGTCACTGCGCTGGGCATTCCTGGGATGGATGAAGCGAAGGAGCTCCCGCGCGTTGCGTCACCGCCGCGGCGCTGCAGTCGCATGAGCGCCTGTCTCCATGCTGGCGGCGGCCCCGTGGGCGGCGCGGGCGTGGCGGGCGCAGCGGTCGCAGAGTAAACGATTGTTGTCGCGGATTCAAGTATGGATTGGATCAGTACGTTAGTAGCTTCTAACACGCATTACGTGAGTCCCGCAGATCGGGATGTCACGACAGACCGATAAATAGTCTCAGCGGATCCGACTCGGCCGCGGCCCGGACTCTGTTAGTATGCTCATCGACCTCGCTAATTACCTGTTAAGGCAACCCGTATCTAAGGTTCGCTCACTCCCGCACTCGTATTTATGCGTGTGCTAGGTCAGGAGGTCACTCCACCTGGCCTTGCGTGTACGAGTGCGTGTGGATATGCATTTCGTTCTAGTATTAAACTCAGAGGTAATGGGAGTATTGACAGTGCGGGAAACGTGCGTGGCACACATCGCAGTCGCGCGAGGTTACGGTGTGTGTGTGGCTCGGGATTATTTTCAGAGGATGCATCTGCATTTAATTTGGTTGTCTCGGCGAAAGAGCCGGGGGTATGAAGGGGCCGGGAGGGGCGGGCGGCAGTTGGTGGCCAGTCGAGTGTGACGATGCTCTGTGGGGGGCACCAACCCCTGTCATGACCACCTCTACTGGGCATGCGAGGAGGGTGCGGTTGTCTCCCACCAACACCCTCAGCGTAATGCCACGCAGGTCATGGAGGGACGGCGGGCACTGTTTGGTCATAGGGCGCCACCAGGGGCTCGGGGCCTCCTCGGGTGCCACGATGCCCATTGAGACGTGAGGGGACATCCTGCCAGGGGGCCTTCCTGCGATGACTATCTCCGCACGGCCTGCGTCTGCCCGGGATTTATAGGCGCATCGGCGGGAGGGGATGGGAGACGTGATAAGGGCGGGAGGCGGTGTAAAAGCGGGCTCGGGAGATAACCGGCAGGCCCTTTGGACGGCGGCAGAATACTGGAGATGAGGAGCGAAGCGGTCGTAAAAGGGTGGAGATCCTCTGCTGTAACTCGGCGATTCCAATAACGCTAGGAGAGAGAGGGGCTGGCCAGGGATCGCTCTACTCTCCCCCCGAAGCCATTTCCTGAAGAATTCGGCCCAAACAAGCCGCCGCCGGTGTTTAGAATATCGGCCGCATCGTTGCAGCGAGTTCGTGTGACGTTGTGGGCGTGACGGTATTCCCGGGGCGTCGCAACAATGCCCGACTCGTAGGGGGAGGGAGGGGCGAGGTGGCGTACCATCTGGCATGCTTTGGATACGCACTGGTAGCTTGATAAGGGGTAGCAGGAATATTGATTTGGCTGTGTATGTAATAGGGATAGGTATTTCGTGATATTTTCTGATTAAAGGTGTTTACCGCTTTACAATTTCACTCCGTTTCATTGTAGTTCCCCACTCACAGACCTCCGCACTAACATGACTTGTGATCCTCCGCAGGACCTCCAGCAGGAAGTGATGACGAGGAAGGGTGAGGTGTCGAGCGTCAACCTTGCGGTTCACAGGTTCATGACGGAGACCGGCTACTCCCTGGCGCACCTCAAGGACGAGGTGGCGGACCTCTACCGGCTGTGGGACGAGGCGCACAAACGGTAATTTTTTAAGGCTTTCTTTACGGTTTGCTTCTGCAGAAATGTTAACTCTTGGTTCTGGCTCGTGATTAGAAATTGCCGGAATCTTGCGTTTCCATATTAATTCCAATGCTAGCGGTTTGTTTAATTTCTATTCGATTTTGCCATAACTTCAGTGATCGTAGATCATACTAGATATATTAATCTTTCCCGCTTACTCCTCAGAGCCAGCAGCGAGCTCTCGCGGCTGGAAGGAGTGGAAGCCACGTGGAGACTGTGGGAGACACAGGCGGAGGAGCTGCGTCGCGCCCTCCGCAAGGACTGCGACACCCTCAAGGTCCTGGACGCCGCCATACAGACGGGCTCCCTCACCGACACCGCCACCGCTTCCATGCAGGACGTCGAGAGACTCCTAAACGACCGCCGCAAGTCCCAGCCCGGGAAGAGACTCACCCTCCAGCACACCAGGACGCAGGTAGGCCAGCCTCGAGACTCGTCCTCGTTAGGTCACTCCAGGTGTTGAGGAGGTCATCCTCTTTGTTATTCTCAGTCCTCCTGGACTTGCCCTTCTGGTTTATTTATTTGTTGTGGCTCATTCAACGGACTCAAGGGGCGGCCAGGCATTAGTGGTTCTGTGAGTCGGCGAGGTTTGGTGAGCAGAGCAATCAAGCGCAATTTCGGATTGCTCGGCGCGATGGCGGGACGAGCGGCCCATTGTGATCGCTCATCAGTATGCCGTCTGCCTACTATTTTTTCTCCTCCTCCTCCTCCTCCTCCTCCTCCTCCTCCTCCTCCTCCTCCTCCTCCTCCTCTCCCCCTTAGTTTTCTTCCTATTCTTAACCTTTCATCGCTTTCCCCATCTCTGTTCCTTCACCAGTTTCCTCGTCCCATATGTTCTACAGAAGACGTTTGCGCCTAAAATGTGTATGAACCTTTGCATGTCTTTCCCTTGTCTCTTCTCTCACGTCGCTCATCCCTTACCCTAATCCTATATTCTCTCCCTCATCCTCGTATCGCTATCTTACCTCTTATCTCGTATCGCCTTTTTACCCCTTATCCCTTCTCCCTTATCTCGCCGGCTCCATCCTTCACCTCCCTCCAGAATCACCCCGGGCGGGGGGTCTGCCGCCCTCCTCAATCTTATTTAAATAGGAGAGAGCTTTCTCTCGGCTGCTACTGACATCCACATTAATCAACAAATTGGGAGGTGTCATCGAGGGAAAAATATGAGCGGGAAAGGCTCTGTGTGTGTATGTATGTGCGTGTGTGTGTGTGTGTGTGTGTGTGAGTGAGTGAGTGAGTGAGTGAGTGAGTGAGTGAGTGAGTGAGTGAGTGAGTGAGTGAGTGAGTGAGTGAGCGAGTGTGCGAGCGAGCGTGCGTGTGCGCGTGGGCATGGGCGTGGGCGTGTATTTTTTTATGTAATATGATAGGTGTGGATGATGTTCCGGTGTTACACACTCTCCCTCCACCCCCCCCCCCCCTGCCCCCTCCCCATTTAAACACGAAGAGAGATAAATGACGGTGTTGACAGCCATCACCAAAGCCATGGAATCAGACAGACAGACAGACACGACCTCCTTCTTAACCCCCCCCCCCTCACCTTAACGCCCCTACCCTGCACCCCGCCCCCCTTCCTGCCAGCCCCTCCCCCTTCCCTGCCTACCCCTTATTCCCCAGCCGGAAATGATAGTCGCCGACCCTTGTTTTGCGATAAGACTAGCTTAGGCCGTGTCGCTCGGAGGGGGAATGGGACGTGTGTCTGTTAGGGCGTATGTGCTTGTATGTTGTGTGCGTTTTTCGGTCTTCGTGTGTCTAGAGAGGGAGAAGGATAAAAAGATGAGAGATAATTAGAGAGTTTGAAAGAGAGAGAGAGAGTAGTAGGAGAACGAAATATGTTTGAAAAAGAAAAAAAGGTGTTAAAAGTCAACACAGGTCACAGGCGAGGGGCCCGGGAGGGGGAGGGGAGCGGGGGACTAAGTACTTATACCCCGGGATAATAAACCTTTTTGTCGTTATTTATGCGGGGGTCATTACTGGAGGCAGCGGCGTGCGGGCGTGGAGGCGGCGTGGGCGTGACTGGAGGAGGCCCCGCACTGGCTGATGAGCGGCCATTTGCGCGCCTTGTCGGCCATTACGCTTTCACGCAAGCAGGTCATTGTGAGTCCGGAGAGGCGGCGCCCATAACACCTGTCCATACAGCCTATCCCTCAGCCTGTAGGAGGCCGCGGAGCTCCTAGGCCTACTATCATTCCCTGTTGAGCCTTCCCTGGAGACCGATTATCGCCATGCTGTGTTTCTCATGGCGCTTGAGATGTTTTCAAATCTAAACGTTTTCTCTTCAACAGTTGGATTATTGTTTATGCTTTATGAAACTTCACTTTGCAGTTTAGATCAGGCTGTATATTAACCAACATTCAGGGTCGAGCAACCCCATGCCCTTAAACGGTCCTGTGACTCAGTTCGAAAGTAACCCTGTTCTTCTCCCCTTCGCAGGGCGTGGACATCCAGGGCTCGACGACGTCTCTGGGAGCCTCCGGGGACGAGTGCCTGAGTGACTCCGGCACCTCCGGGTACGAGTCGTGTTCCTCCGAGGAGCTGAGCGAGCGCGAGCGGCGCCTGGCTCACCTGAGGAGGCTCGCCAGGGACCTGGAGGCGTCCTTGCACCCCAACTCGCAGGCGTGGCTGGCCATCACGAAGGTAAGCGGCTTTGAAGTTAGAGGCGGCTTGTATGTGACCGCGTGCAGGATTTTTGTTCAGAAATTATTGATATATTATTTAGGTATAAGAATTAAAAGGAAAGAATTGACTTAGTGAAAGAAACTGACTTAAGAATATTCATGCATGGCTGCATTTTAATTGGGGGAAGGGAAGGGTGTCTTGGAATGTAGTGTTGCCAGACGCTATTGATCACCCGTCATCGGCGAAAGGCCATGAGAGAGAGGGAGTAGATAATAAAGTCCCTGGTTCCTTGCAGACCTTGTCCAGCGCAGAGTCGGAGCTGAAAGACCTGCAGAAGCACTGCCGGGAACTGGTGGTGCGCTCGGCCGAGAGCCTCGACCAAGCCAAGACGTCCCCGCAG